AGATTAGTGTATGAATGTAGTGGATTTTCTTTTTTCCTTTCACCTTTAAACCCACGATTTCCAATGAATCCAGGCCGACCAGGAAGCCCATCAGGCCCCCTTCCTATTCCTGGCAATCCAGGCTGACCTTTTGGTCCAGGGAAACCAGGAGAGCCTGCAGAGAAGAAAAACGACATCTCAACACTTTCTGTAAATACAAATCTCTACGACGTCATGAAGGAATTACTGCAACAGGACTTTGTTTTCTTAGGAGTTACTCACCCATTATTCCATACCGTCCCTGTTCACCAAGAATCCCCTTCTGTCCGAGGAAACCTGGATTTCCTGAAAATCCATTATCGCCAGGTTCACCAACTTTCCCTTGGTCGCCTGTCGACATATTTAAAATGTTATAAAACTTCTGAAGAAATCAGAGATTGGAGACCAACTCTGATCTCCCAAAAAGCTTGTCCCACAGTACTAAGAATTTCTTCACCTGCACTAAATATATTTATTTTACTAAAAATAAAATATGAAGGAAATGTAAATTCTGATCCATGTCAACAAGTTTGTAAAATATGACAACAACAACACTACAAGTGATGTGATGCTGGATGCTTTTCTTTATTTACAGAGATGTGAAAAGGGAAAGACCATCTCTGAATCGAGGAGGGGGCCTAAGGGTACATCTTTCACCATCTTACAATTCTGTGATTGCAGCCGTTCCCCAACTCTCTGTGAATGGTACTCATGGCCATTGATCAGTGGTTGCTGATCAATGGCCATGACAAATAAAGTTTCACCGTAACCGAGTAAGGTGAGTCTTACCTGGGATCCCTGAATCTCCTTGTCGGCCTTTAAGTCCTGGTGCTCCAGGATAACCAAAAGTTTCTCCAGGTAGTCCTAAGAGAAAAAAGCATTTAAGTCAATGGATGTTTGATTTGATTATGAACAGATGTAAAGAAGATGTTTATCACTGATGGTAGACTTCATATGTACTAGTGCTGTGCAATATGAACAAAATCTCATATCCTGATATAACACGTTTATCGTCCCGACAACGATATAAATCACAAAAATGTAACATTTTCTGTAAATTCTGTGAATCTCGGGCAACTTGCGTGAAGCTGGGTGTCGTGTACCTTATTTTAGGTATTTTCATTAATGCATACTCCAAAATTTGACGTTTGAGAATACTGTATATTATCATCACGTCAGTTTAT